TCACCCAGAGCCTGACGCCCCTCCCTGCCTTGTTTCTCTAGTGCCATCTCCTCTCTTCCTCTCCGACCATCTTATCCACACCCCAGGACAGAGCCACAATCTCAGCTCTGCTCCAAGCTGCCACACCCGCCCCACCCATCCCCTGCTGTGCACTCACATCTGCTGAATTCAAGAACTGCACTGAGGCCAACCCCCTGCAATGATGCAATGGCAAAAGAGTAACAGAACTCACTCACTCCATGTTACCCTGCGGGGGAGGGGCTCTGTACTCTGTTCACGCTTGCACCTAGGCTGGAATCATTTTGAAACACTGGATAACAAGAACAAGGAGTGTGCAGCTGTCAAGATCAACGCCAGGAAAGGCGGAGTAAGTACACACAACTCTTGTTTTGTTTTTTGGTTTTTTGGGGGTTTTTTTGAGTTGGAGTCCTACTCTGTCGCCCAGACTGGAGTGCAGTGGCCGCTCCCGGCCATCAGCCACCGCAGCCTCAACCTGCTGGGCTCCGACGATCCTTCTGCCTCAACCTTTCGAATAGCCGGAATTACAGGCGCGCTATCACGCCCGGCTAATTTTTTATTTATGGTAGAGATGAGGTCTCACCAAGTTGCCCAGGCGGGTCTCGAACCCACGGGCTCAGGCAATCCACTCACATCAGCCTCCCAAGGCGCGGGATTACAGGCTGAGCCACGGAGCCTGGCTTGTTTTGTTAAAAATGTAAAGGAACCTGACCAAGGACAAAGAAGCTCCCCGACCCCGCCCATGGTTCTTCCCAAGCCCTTTTCCCTTTAAAACCCCTTTGATGGGCCTGAGAAAGCTGAAGCGGTCTGCTGGAGACTTGAACCTGGCCACTTCCCCCACGGCCGGCTTTTGGAAGGAAGTCTCTTTCCTTCCATCAACCCCATCTCCTTGGGCCCTGAGGGCGAGCAGCTGAGATTATCACCGCCCCTCCTTCCACCCCCTTCCCCCGACAGCCTCAGCCAACGGGAGCCTTGCCTTCCTCCTCCTCCTCCGACCCCCCCATTGCGGCAGTTCTGAGTTGTGCTCTGCTCTTTCTCACACACACACAGCCATCGTGACCCAAACACACTGCACGGAAAGCAGGCCGAAGAGTGCTCCTCTGAACCCCCCGGCATGCCCGGGGTGATGCATCGCCCCCGCCTGCACAGCACCCACTCCTGGGATGATGAGTGTGGCTCCCTCGGCCACAGCACACGGTGGCGAGGAGGCCGAGGACCTGATGGCCTGTCCCTGCAGCCAGCCCCGGGCCTCCAGGAGCTGCTGCCCCCACCCCAAGCAAGGGAAGGGCCTCATGCCAGGCGCCACACTGGACACTTGACACACACTGTATCTCATTTAATTTCCTCACCACCCAAGGACAAGGGGGTTAACTATCTCCACCTGAAGGACAAGGGAAGCGGGTTCAGATAAATCACGGCTGGGGCTGGATCTGGATCGGATTCTGCTGGTGCACAAAGCCAGTGTTGTTTCCACGGCACCACAATGCGTCCGTCCGAGAGAAAAGAAGCCAGCACCTTAGCTACATGAATACGTCATCTCTACTCCCTTCCTAAGGGCAGGGCTTACCTTTTAATTCTGTCTATGGTTCCCAAGAGGGTAGCAGACTTGTCATGGACCCTTTTGGGTTTTTTTTGGAGGCGGGTGTTTGAGTTGGAGTCTCACTGTGGCCCAGGCTGGAGTGCAGTGGCACACTCACGGCCACCGCAGCCTCCACCTGCTGGGCTCAAGTGATCCTTCTCCTTCAGCCTTCCAAGTAGCTGGAAATACAGGTGCACTACCATGCCTGGCTAATTTTTTTTTTTTTAATTGTAGAGACGAGGTCTCGCTAAGCTGTCCAGGCTGGTCTCAAACCCCTGGTCCCAGGCAATTCACTAGCCTCAGTCTCCCAAAGTGCTGGGATGACAGGCTTGAGCCACCATGCCCAACCAGGCATGGTCCCTTTTATGACTAAAAGCCTTAGGGTAGAGAATATATCTTTTAAGTAAAAACAAGCTCAAGGAAGTCTCCCGTACTCCCCACCACTCTAAACTAAGCCCCGCCACTCTAAACTAAGCCCTCCCACACGTCACATCCCAACCTGTTTTTAACACAAAGGCATGTGGCACAAGCGCACGCGCGCACGCGCGCACACACCCACAGCCCTGGGACCCTCAAGATCAGCCTCTTCCTGATTCCCCACAGAGCTCCACGCCTGTCTCCCGCAGAGGACTGCTGAGCCTGCTCTGAGCTTAGTCTATCCCTTGACCTACCTGCCTCTGGCCAGGAATCCCTCACTAGCCTTACTCCTCACGTGGGACCCCAGCCAGTCTTTCACGCACGCAGCCTAAGGTGGAGGCAATAGGCCACAAGGCACACGCATCCACCTCACAGAAGCTTAGCATTTGTTATGACAAACAAGCTCATCCCGCCCCGGATCTCAAGCTGTCAGGATACCAGGAGCTCAGCAAGAGAGAGACTGTCGTCTTAACTATTTCTTAGCCTGATTTGTCATTCTGGTCAACATGGGTACAGCAAATCCCAGACTTCGCCTGCCAATTAAAGTCTAGCTCGTAACCAGCTCCTTGCTCACTTTTGGCTTGCTGCTGTGTGGAGTGGCAATGACAGGAAACGCCTGGACTGACCAAATCATAAATGGCCAGCTGTGACTCTGAATGGCATCCTTCCACTCTCAAACCCAAGAAGCCCGACCTGGGACACACTGTCATTTCCCCAGGACAGAGCTGTCTCTGAGCTCCTCCAGGACTTTAAAGCCAAGGCACAGGGATGCTGTTATCATGACCCTGACAGTCTACAAGAACTGCCACAAGCTGGAGTTCTTTTCTCATAGATGTTTGTGTTCTTGTTGCTACAAGCATCCCACAAGTTAAATGCAAAAAGTCTCATCTTGTGTGATAGGTGAATCACTATCAAAAAAACCCAGAGGAGAAAAAATCCACATGCATGAAAGAGGGGATCAAAAAAACAAAATTTTTTTTTCCTTGAGTTGGAGTCTCACTCTATCACCCAGGCTGGAATGCAGTGGCAAGCTCACAGATACCGCAGCCTCGACCTGCAGGGCTGAGGTGATCCTTCCTCCTCAGTCTTCCAAGTACCTGGGACTACAGGCATGCGCCACCATGCCTGGATAATTCTTCTTTTTTTTTTTTTTGAGTTGGAATCTCACTCTGTCACCCAGACTGGAGTGCAGCGGCCACCGCAGCCTCGACTTGCTGGGTTCCAGCGATCTTTCCACCTCAGCCTTGCAAGTAGCCGGAATTACAGACATGCACTACCATGCCTGGCTGATTTTTTGATTTATTGTAGAGATGAGGTCTTGCTGCCCAGGCGGGTCTCGAACCTGCGGGCTCAGGCAATCCACTTACCTCAGCCTCCCAAAAGCGTGGGATTACAGGCCGAGCCACCGAGCCCGGCTAATTTTTCTTGATTTATTGTAGAGATGAAGTCTCACCAAGTTGCCCAGGCTGGTCTCGAACCCGTGGGCTCAGACAATCCTCTCACCTCGGCCTCCCAAAGTGCTGGGATTATAAGGGTGAGCCACTGTGCCTGGCCTCAATCAAATATTAAGGCCAAGACCAAACCCTTAGCTTCTGGTTCCAGTGCTAGGGGGAATTTACAAACACAGCAGAGACCACAGGAATGACTGATCACTGCAAAAACAAGAAACAATGCATCAAGGTTCACTCTCAGGAAAGACATGAACAACACTGAATTTCTAACATAAGGGAGCAAGGTGGTTTGCAACCAAAAAGACTGTTCTTTAGGGCGCTGGGGAAAACACCACTGCACCTGACAACCAGGCTTACTGGATCTCGCAGTAACCTGGGCCAATAATTAACTTCCAACAATCAAAGTCTATTCATCTGTGAAGTGGAAATGGCAATACCTGCAGAAACAAGAGCAGCCCGTGGTAACAAAAGGCAAAGGGTCCCGTCCCCTAAGCAAACCTAGATCTGAATGCGGTCAATTGATGAGTAGCACTGAGTTACTTAAACTCCTTGAGGTAATAACATGGTGTTAACACCCACCTCAAACAGCTGTTGTAAAAACTGAGTAACAGCTAATGTAAAGTGCTTATGACAGAACCAGACACACAGGAAATGCCCAATAACTAAAAATGTCTGAAGACTTGTTGAGTGTTTCTAATACTATCTAACATGGTGCTGGGCACCTTGCCTAATTTATCTTGTCATACTGGATTGTCTCTCCTTCAAGATATTTATGAAAATAAACATCTTTTTATATGAAAATATGGGCAAAGGAAAACTTCTGCAAAGATAGAAATCAAAATGCTAATCGTGATTATCTCTTGGTGCTAGGAATGTTTTTCTTTTTGCTTACCTTTTTCCAAAATTTTCTCCAAACATCACTTACTGAGGTATATTTCTATTTTATTTCCAATTTTAATGGCAAAAAACATTAAAATGCAGTGACAATGAAAATACTGCTCACAGATAACCCCTCCATGGGGCATTTCCTTCGAGGGCAAGAACGAATAAAGCTCTGCTGTCCATGAGGAATTCCAGGGTTTTTCTTTCGAATAAGGATCAGCTACCTGACTCATCCCCCTCTTCACTCTGCCACCACGGAGCCCGGAATCAAATTTTTCGCTCAGCCATTCAATTAGGCCCTTATTCTCTCCATAGTTCTATTTAACTTCCCAAGTCTTGACTTTCCATTCTCACTTATATCTGCTTCTCCTGATTTTATGTTTCGTGTTTACATTTTACTGCTTTTCTCCACGTTCGTCGTAAATGTGCTGCTGATGGGTTCTTTCCAGAACGAGACCAGGCACCTGTGTGTAATATAAACACCTGAGGACCTTGAGGAATTGCTGTAATCCAGCACTTCATGCTCGTCTCTACACTCCATGGGGTTCTTGGTTGGGACATCAAACAGAATTACATTTAAACTCTATTTCTGAGACCTTAAAAAAGTACCAAACTGCAACATGATGTAAGAAGACAGCGCCACACTTTAAGAGTCGAGGAAGTCCCATCATTTAAAAGTCAGTTTTATTGAATGCTCAATTCTCAAAATTATACATGTATTTTTAAAATATCTTTTAAAAAAACCCCATTCTCACCCAGCATCCTTTGACCCTCCTCCAAACGAGACAGTGAGTATCCAAGTAACATCAAGCTCAACAAAGTCCACCACTCCACCACAAAACAGAGAAGTAGGCCCCAGAAGACAAGGGATGTCAAGGTCATTACCCGTGCTGCAGAGTCGACAGCTAACTAATGCTGGAGAAAGAATGGAAACAGCTAACACAGAAAAACAAAGGGAACTGGAATGCACAGCCTGACCAAATACTTTGGTAATTTACACCATACAGACATGTAGAGTGCTCACCAGCTACGAGAGAACAGACCAGCTACACAAAGGAAGACCTCTGCCAGGTATCCTCTCCTTCCAGCCTCTTAGGAGTCATTAGGAAGCCCAAACAGCTTCACAGTTCCAGCTTCCCGACTGCTGTCGTATTTGCCATCTTTGTCATCACAGGCAAATGCCAGCAGGGGCCTTTTGGGGTGCCAGGCCACGGTGAAGGTCGGGGACTCACACTGCACCTCCCACAGCTTGTCTCCTACAGAAACCAATATGGAGAAACCAATCGATACATTAATTAGAGGACACACCCATATTACCCATATTAACTCATTTGATCCTCTTAGTAATCCTGTGTGATAGGGACAACCATCATCTCTACAGAGAACACTGAGGCACAGAGGTCACAGGCCAGCAGGTGGCACAGCAGGATCTGAACACAGGCAGGTCAACGCAAGGGCACATCGCCTCTCGGCCTTTTGGCTAAGATCAAGTGCAAGGTAAGGGCACATCACCAAGCAGGAGAGTATCACTGTGTCCTGGGGCCATGGGATTACATAAAGGATCTGCATGGCGGGATGGCTGGACGACACTCACCACAATGTTATTGGCAGGGGTATTCCTTAAACAGTACATTTTGAAGTTCTTTACTTTCCTCTTGGAAGTTTTCTATAGAGTTTGAATTCTTTGACTAAGTGCACGGATTTCCAAAAACAATAAAGCTACACTAAAAACCAAATCTGAAAAATTATTTTCTAAAAGGAGTGCTCTCCTCCCACTTTTTTATTTTCAGTTTCTATTTTGTTGCTTTTAAAGCAAAAACTAGCCGGGCTCGGTGGCTCAGCCTGTAATCCTGCACCTTGGGAGGCTGAGGTGA